CCGGAGGAACGGTACAACTTACTAGACACGAGAAAGAAAAAGAAAAGGAAAAGTTGCTGAAGCAGACCAAGATGCCGGATTAGGGTGAGGGATTAAGGGGGCGGAACAAGAAGAAAAGAAAAGAAAAACAATTCAAGAGTGACTTCAACATTGATTTCAAGACACGAATCGACTCAGTCAAGAGACTTCCCCACCCCATCGACGGCTTTCCGTTCTGTTGTTGTTTGAGCCTGTTAGGGACCTAGCCAAGGTACAACTCGTCCCACTCGGGGCTTTGTTTCAAGGGATACTGCCTCGAGAGCAGCGGTAATGGCGCCGTGACGGAAGGCCATGCCCGATTCACACTTGAACACCCAGGCTTCCCTGGTAAACTGTTCTTCAGTGGTCAAATCCACTCAGCAATGAGCTCAATACTTAGCTGAGACATTTCAAAATAAAAATGTTGCCGGAGGTCTTCAATAGGCTCATGATTTCCCTGTTGACGCTTACTAAAACACGAAGCCAAGGGTCACCTGGAACCTTCACCTGACTCTGTGCTTGTACTCGCACTCGGAATCGCCACTCACAAACTCATCGAGGCGCTTTCAACGATTTTGCAGGTACGTTTACACGAGATGACAAGTAGATGAGTGCGCGGTCTTCGTTGGCCAGCGCACGCACTCACCTTGCCTGCCCCTCCGCTGGCCCCCTGCAGCTTAAACAAACAAAACGACCTAAGCCCATGGAAGCTTGGGTTTCTCGCACACACACACACACACATACACACACATACTTGCTTGCTGCGGGTCAAGGTCCAGGCCGGCTGGACCCGCACCCAAAGCGCCCCCCACCCTCTTTAGGTCTCTCTTCGCTTCGCTTCGCAGGGGTAGAGCTCCACGGGAGTTCGCGCCAAGTCGCTCCCTTCCCATCTTTCTTTTCTTTCCCCAGGCTTGAGGGCATGCCCCCGCTGGAGCAGCCCGTCCGTTGAAGGGATGCACGGTATTACATGCAGCAAGTGTTCGATCCCCTCCATGGGCTGAGCACGACCCTATCTTTGCTATGCTTTGCTCGGGGTTTAATCCGAGGGTCTGATTAACCATATCCCCCACATTTAAAGAAATTTTTTTGGGTCCGGAATGGCTCCGAAGAGGCGTTTCCATTACGTGAGGATTTCGTCTGGAGGAAATACCCCACATTTAAAAAAAAAATTGGGCCCCTAATTTTTGTAGGGTCCTAAGCTCTGCACGGGCTTTTCATTTCTGCAACTGGAGCTGCTCGCCGATCTCCAGTCTGCAGCTGTGACTTTGGTCTTTGCCATTGCTTGCTTGCTTCTTTAATACACAAGCAAAGCTTCTGTGGGAACCGGCCCTTTCCTTTCAGCAGAAGCTGCCCTCCGAGGCCAAGCTTTTTCCAAAAGTTCAGGGATCTCAGAAAGCTAGTTTTCCTTATTCATTCGCTTATCCGGGGAAGCAATTTTTCATTCTCTCCTGACCTACCCCTTACGGGGCCTGCCCGCAGGCACACGGAAACACATTAATAAAAGGGTTCACATTTGTAGGAAGCCGGCCGGTCCCGGCCCAGCTGTGCCTGCGGTCTTTGCCATTGCTTGCTTGCTTCTTTAATACACAAGCAAAGCTTCTGTGGTTTTTAATAGAGCTCAAAGAGCCCCAGTGGAGGTTTTCTCCATGCATCCAGCCTTTTTGAATGGCTTTCTAATAGAGATTCAATACATTGCTATGGTTTTTAATAGAGCCCAAAGAGCCCCAGTGGAGGTTTTCTCCATGCATCCAGCCTTTTTGAATGGCTTTCTAATAGAGATTCAATACATTGCTATGGTGTTTAATAGAGCCCAAAGAGCCCCAGTGGAGGTTTTCTCCATGCATCCAGCCTTTTTGAATGGCTTTCTAATAGAGATTCAATACATTGCTATGGTTTTTAATAGAGCCCAAGGAGCCCCAGCAACCCAGGCATGATTTTCCATTAATGCGGCCCCCGCAAATTTAATTCTGTTACTTTTTTTTGCGGGGGGGGGGGGGGGGGGGACCCCCCCTACTAATAAGAACCTCGGATTAGGGCAGGAGCAGTCCTCCCGCCCCGCGCGAGCGCGCTACCCCATCCACTATTTGGAGTGGAAGGGCTCGGCTGTACAGAACGTGTGCTCTGTTGTTCAGGGCAGTGAGTGGGTTTCCCGCTTTCCAACCAACAACGTAGGTAGTGTGAACACCACTCGGGTTTCCCACTGCACTCCGTGTACGGGTTGGGGCTCCCGTCTCTTGTTGTGCAGAAAACAGCAGGGACGACTGTGTCCACCACGACTCTGTCTCTTTCTTTCGCCAGGGCTATGGTGTAGGGGTTTTACCCCCTACACCGCGCGCATGTGCGCCCCCGACTGTTGCGGAGGAGAAAATATGGCTGTCCTCCAACCACGGCTCTGGTCAGTCAAAAAGACCGAGCTCATCACTCAGCAACTGCATTCAAAACAGGCAAAGAAGATCCGCTAGTTAGACTAGTCAGCAGTATGCTAGGCGAAGTTGGGTCGACATGCCACAGAAGCGAACCACAGGATCGAGCTGCCCTGGTATGCTCCATGGTTTCAAGTGGAAAAGAGACAGGCTGACGGGAAATCCCCGAGGATCAGCAACATCACGACGAAGAGATACATTTGCATGGGATGTCCTCAGTCAGCAAAAGGTGTGTTGAGCGCGTCCCGAATTTTGCCTCAGAGCGGAGGCTAGGTAAAGTGTATATGCATGGCTCCGCGGCCCGTCATGGATTGGTGCTATAAAAGCACATTGTGCTATGGAGAGAGCTGAGGAAACTTCCTGTACGGAGACAAAGGGCATGGACTATCAGACTGAACGGAAAACTGTTTACAGCATGCGCACGCTCAACAAAGGTGGGCCCAAGGGGTTTTCCCCCGCTGGGAATGAAACTTGGCTCAAAAGCTCTGAGGGAAAATTCCTACTGCCGTCAGCGGTCACTTTTCACCTCATCGACGTTCTTGCCACTCGCCTTTACGGCGCTTTTCGCGCCGATACGACCTGTAGTCGGCTTTCGCGTCTTTCCGGCAACGCTTCCAGAGGTCCGCGTCCGTCTCCCCAACATGTTGTCTCTGCACAACACCATCTTGGAGGAGCTGCTGCAGTCGCCTTTTTTGGGGCACGGTAAGAGTGGAGGGATCTCCTCGAGGCTCCGGTGGTGCAAAGGAGGGTGCAGCAGACTGGCCTTCATCTTCTTTTGCATTGTCGTCTTCGTCCTCTGCCTCTCCTCTGTCCATGTTGTCAAGGCACCCCTTTCTCACACGCTCGTCGTCGATTTCCTCCTTGTAGTGCTCGAGGTCCTCCCTGGGGTTATCCCCCTGGTCCGTGTAAGAGTTATTGGGGTACTGGTCGTCATTGTCGGCGTGGTTCGGCACTGGCTCCTCCTCATCTTTGACGCTTCCCTTGTCCCCAATGTCCATTCCGTCGTCAAAAACGTCAGTGGTGGGATGGAGTCCCCTGTGTTCAATCTTGGGTTGGTCCCAGTGGCCATGGCATGCTCCTGTTGCAAGGTCGGCAACCAGTTGTTGTTGCGATTGTGGCGGTCCTTCGGCTTGGTCCCCGGCGGCTGCTTCCGTGTTGGGGTTGTTCCCCTGTTTCTCGAGAAGCCTGTCATCATCATCCGCGTGCGGCGGTGTCATAGCCGAGGTCGTTGTTTGGTGCACCATCACCTGGGGATGTTCCCCTTCGGGCCTCTCGGATGTAGTCGAAGTGGGTGGTACCTGCCGCATGGCTTCCTGTGGCTTGGCAGGCCAGTGTACATAGGCTTTGGCATGGGCTGGTAGGTCCATCCACGGTATCGCCCTTGCTGCCCCTGCCTGCACAGGGGAGGTTCCCCGAATAAGGCTTGAGCTGATAGATGTCTCCGTGGCTGCAGGCGTTGGCGCAGGTTCTGGTAGTTCGGCAGGTGGGCTCGCGACCGCTCTGACAGGCGTTGGTGCAGGTTCCGGTAGTTCAGCAGGTGGGCTCGCGACCGCTCTGACGGGGGTGCGCCCCGATGCTGGCTTTGGTGACGACTCTCCATGGAGGATTTCCCGCAGGGGCTGCATGAGGGGATCGTCTGTCTCCATCATGTCAAAGTGGAGGTAGTTGAGGCAGTCCCCCGCCTGTCTTTGTGTCGTCGGTCCTTCTTCTTTTTGGCTGTCCGTGCTTCCTCTGTGTCTTTAGCTTTGCTGGTGCGTCTTCCCGGTTGGGGCTCCATGTTGCTGTTGCGGTCAGGACACTGTCGTCGGAAGGGGGGGCGGTTCCCCCGTTTCTCCAGTGTGGGCAAGGTTTGCACCCGCGGTGTCGATGCCCACTGTCACGAACTTGAAGTAGGTCTTGTCCCTCGCCCAGCAAGGTGGTAGTCGGGGATCGGTTCGGCCTTGAGTTTCAGAGAGCCGTTGAAGGAGTGGCACGTCGCCTTCCGCACAAAGGCTTTCACAACGAGGACCTTGCAGTCACTAGGTCGCGCGTGGTGAGGTAGAGCAAACAGTCTTGCCCTCGTTGAGTATGGCACCTCCCCTGCTGTGGGACGAGAAGGGACGACTCTGTCTCTCTCTCTCTCTCTCTCTGTCTTTCTCTCTCTCCGTCTCCTGCTCTCACTCGTACACATGCACAGTCCGTTCGTGGGTCCACGTACATGTGATCGGTTAAGTTGCGCAAAGAATCATAAACATGAAGACACTAAATCAGACGCGACAAACATTCAAAAACATGCATACACACCGTTGCATGAATTCGAGACTTGCTCTCATGATAGAGCGCGACAACGATGTAGTTCGTGGCTGGACGGCCAAAATCGTGCTGGGTTTTCTACCGGCAGTTGTGTGAACGCGGCTTGGATGTGGCAAACAATTGACGACCGGCTGGAAGGAAGCCGAACTGGCGCTTGGACTCTCAAGAGAGGTATCAAGCCTTTAAGCTGGCACACCAAAGATGCCGGGAGTCTTGTCCAACACAGATGCTGCACGATAGCCAGTATGCCAAACCAAGATGTGTTGCCTACATGTGAGTTTTGATACTCGATCCCGAAACAGCTAAAAACCAGCAAGCATGGGTAGTGGTCGCCAGTTGTTGTGGATAGACCATCCAAGTGGCTGTGACCATGGATTCGTCACCTTCGTTGCGGCTTCCCCTCGGCCGGACGAAGCACCCGTCGTAGTGAGGGCCGAACTCCTGGGAGTGGAGTTTTAATCAAAGGCCCACCCTCCCTCAAAAGCAGCTCTTGCTTGATCGCCCAACCCTGCTCCTGCCCGGGTGTGTAGCACAGCACCCGGCAGCGCTCGTTTAAGTCGACGAGGTGGCTGCCTCTGAGGTTTGGCTCATTGCTTGCACTGGAGAAGCCGAGATCACCCGACACCGAAAGCGACGCTGTCCCTTATGCATCGGTTCTATACTCTACAATAACCGATGCTTTCACCCTGGTCAGAAGCCACGGTAAGCTGCCTTGAAGCATCCCGGGGAGGTGCGGCCGGAGCATCTCTAGAAGGTAGGAACTGAGCTCCTGCCGGGCTGCAGATTACTTGGGCCTGGACTCTCCTCTCATAGCTCCTTAATGCCGGAACGTAGAGGAGTTGGAGGTTCGGTGGAAGCGGCTTACACATTCCCTCCCGTCTTCTTGCGGAGTCGGTGGTAAGTGTCATCGTGCTTTGCATAACTAGTGAGACTAGCAAGCCTGGCGAAGATCGCAAGTTATGTTCCTGACTGAGTCGCTGAAGCTTGAGTCTCTGTCTCAGTGTCTGGCCACCGGTCAACTCAAAGCATCGCGAAACATGCAAACTCTTCAAGCCGAAATCCGACCTTGAATTCTCAGCATGCGAGCCTGGCTATCCACGATGGCACGGTGGCCATTTCGCACGTCTGGCTCGAAACGCTGGCGTCCGTTGCCTCGTCCAAGTTTCGTTTAGCAAAACAGCGCGGCCAACCTGCTTCAAATCATCCGCACTCCGAAACCTGGCTTCGACACACCGAGCTCCTTTGACAGGGAGGCTTCGGCAGGATTCGAGGTCGGCTTCTGGGCTGTCTGAAATGTCAGTTCGATCTGACTGGGGCTGCCGGGTGGCCGATGTTCAGCAGCGCCGGCGTGAAACCTTCATGGAGGGGCCGAGCACTCTGAGGCAACAACGGGCTGAGAGTACACAAAGGGGCAGAGCTTCCTGGCGCTTCACTCCTGCAGTCTTGCGACAACAGCTTGGCAGCCTGCTTGCTTGCTTGCAGCACAGAAGAGCATCGTTAAGACGCGGGGAAGTAGTGCCACGACATGCGATTTTACAAGATACCATGACTCCAATGATGCAGCTAACAGTACCCTTGTCACGGATGTCGGCAAAGGTCGGGCTCGAACTCCCTGGTGTCATCACAGCGTGCCTTTCTGGTTGATGCAGCGAATCAGGTCAGCGCAATCGTCCTTCTTGCAGCAGAACAACAAAGAAACTTACCCTGTCGCGGAAACAACTCCCAGGGGTTTCTGAGCACTCGACTTAAAAACAACAAGCTCGGTGGCATAAGACAAGCACCTCCCGTCTGCACCCCAGCGGAGCTGCATTGAAAAGAAGACTGAGAGGAACCCGAAACTTTGACAGACTGCGGATGACAGATTTTGGTTCGCTTACTCTGAACAGAGTGGCTCGTGCTCTGCCTTTGCTGTGGCCTCGTCGAGGACGTTGTGGACCACACGCGCAAAGGTTCGTCGGTCGCCCGAGACGGCCAGCTCCTAGAAGTCCCCAAGCAGCGACTTTGGGCTGAAGGCGCGTGAGTCGCTGAGACGCGGAAGCTTCTGGACATCTACTGCGTCGCCAGCATCGAATGCTCCTCCGCCCAGGTCTTTTCGCGTTGCCGCACAGGATCCTGCGGGGCCAGCATCGTGCGGCTCGTCTTGACTGCTCAACTGCGCAGATCTCGTCGGCTCCCATGCTTTCAACTTTTCTGCGCATTTTTCTCCACCTGGCTGCCCTTGTTACCCTAGCACCGGTCTGTTTGCGACTTGACGGGCCTTACGGAACCTAGGAGTAAGACGGGTCCATCGCCGCTCCCTTACGTCTCTCCTCTGTCTGGAGGGTGCACAGCTCAAGAGTTCAGAGTTCACCGATTGTGGCCCCTGGCCTTCTCCTTCACAAACTTGGGTGGCTCCCAGGACAACTCGATGCGATCAGGGTCCTGCAGGACGGAGACGGAGCTAGCAACAAAAAACTTTCTGCTCATGACTGCGCATCCGCTGCCAAAGGTGCAAAGCCAGCGGTCCTGCGATGCCGTGAACGTCTGCCCATGCTTCCAGCCTGTCAGACTGCTCAAGCTAAGGGCCCAGCAATATCATCTTTTGGGATTCCTCACAGGTCCCAGATTTGATTTCCTTCTCTCGCCACATGGGTTTTCATGGGGCACATACTGATGCAAAGTGGCTCCAAATCATGGCCTGCGCTGATTGCAGTGGAAGACGAACCATGCTGATGGTCGCATTACATACAGTAACAGGGGGGTTCAAGCCACAATGGCGAGGTGCCACTTTTCATTTTCCGTAGACCCAACACAAAGCTGTCAGACCTTCATTTCTCCCCCTCAGGATACACCACAACGCCAACAGGTCGTGGAGCCTGGGCACAGAAAGACGGCAGCTTCCAAAGGCTTCCCTGCGAGCACGAGGTCCTGAGCCACGTGGGCGAGAGCTTAAACGCAAAGTCCTGTGCTCGAACATGCATCGGGTCTTGCAAGGAATTTGCGGCGCTCATCCGACCTTCGTCCGACTGTCACCCGACCTCCGAGAACCGACCGAAGCCTTCCCTGCCTGGCCTTTGCCAGCTCCCGGCTCTGCTCCAGCGTCGGCGGCGTCGGAGAGGTCAAGTTGGCCTGATCCTCCCGCCCGCGCGCGCTCTCTCACGCACCATGACCGAGTCGCCGAAACCAACAAGAGACTACAAGCCTCCAACTGAAAGTCTCCCGCCACCGTCCACCCATCCACTCCCACCCCACGGACCGCACCATCCTTCCAGCGCCATCCCAGGACGTCCAGCAATGGCATGGCAGCTTGTGGTCGTGGGCCACGTCTACTGTTGCACGACAGGTTTTTTGGGAGGAATTTTGCAGGGCTCGAGCTTCAGGGTGTCGATGGGCGGGGATATACGGGTGTTGCTTGCCAGGGATACTCCACGTCCTTTGCAGCGAAGCTTGAGATACGCGCGCCGAACTTCTACACCGAAACATGGAAAGGCAAAGTGCGTCCGAAAGAAGGGACATGCAGCATCAAAGCAGCATGGCCTTCAGCACAAATCGTCTTTTTGGTCTTACGGCTTGCTGTCCCAGGCCTACTCCTCCCCAGAGGCCAGGAAGTTCGCAAGAAGGCCCCACTCTGGCTGGGAGCAATGCGGAGTGTGCTGAAACCACGAGGCAACTCGGAGGGGTCCTAACTGCACTGGTGGCCAGTGGCACTGGCGGTGACCCGCGTTTGCGAGGGCAGGATACTGCAGCATCCTACACAGAGTCCTCCACCTGCGAAACCGCTCTCCTAAAGATCCCACGACGAAAGCCGTGCGCCAGCCCAAGAAACAAACAGATCCAGTTCATAGCTGCGTCGTACCCCAATGCCAACGCACAACTTGTTGCCTCCACACAACTCAAGACGCCAACAGTTCTGGATCCTGCAGCTCCCGCCCACGGCCCTAATGCTACAAACTTTTTCGGGCTTGGGGGATGCGGGTTTCTGAAACCTGAAACCGGTCTGCAGACCATCGACTCTTGGCTCTTTGCAGGATCAACAAATGCAGGAACGGGATGATGTCCTCTTGTCAGTGTCCTGTTCGAGTTGGTATGCATGGATATGAGCTGCACTGTGATCTACGTTTGCATAGGAGAGGCAAACCAGTGCCGCGGCTCCCGTAGCCATGTTCATATTCATTATGTTCACATGTTCGCTTATGCGTCCGCAATATTAATGCATGAGGTAAGCTGGTGAAATGTGCATGTACATACTATATCGATGATGTTTTTTTGTGGGTTGCCTTGTTCAGGCTTGGGAGATGCAGACAACTATGGCCAATATGACGACCCAACAAACGACGGGTGTTCCGGAGGCAAGAACTACTCTTCTAAGCCTGGTGCTTCATGGTGTGCGGCTGGTTTCAGGTTTCCATCTTCAGGAAAGCCCAGATTTCCGAGCCACGTCATCCACAAGGTCGGATGTTCACTCCAGCCTGAGGCGATGACCAGTTCTCAAGCCCTTTTCAATTCTGTACGAAACCCCGAGGCACTCGAAACTCGCGAGATGTGGTGTGTAATGCAAGGAATCATGAACTCCCTGCAGCGCTTCGACTGTAGAAGCCGTCACACCACACGCCTCTCTAAGCCGACTCGGTTCTTGTGGACACAGCTTCACGGCGACTGTCCCCAATCCCTGCTGATGAGAAGTCAGCGAATCCACGACTCCGAGCACAAAAGGCACGAATTCTGAATCCGAAGCAGAGCAAAGCAGAGCAAAGCCTGGCCTCACAGGACTGGAGTGCGAGCCTCCGGCACCGTCGACGGATTCTTGTTCAGCGCTTGACACACAGCGAGCTTCGCATCAGATGCGGCAGCAGGAAACCAGGCTTCTTCTTTTCGGCGCACGAGGCTTCGCTAACTTCCGTCACAGCCCGTCAGGAGATTAAAGTCAAAACCATGGAGGTGGTCTGAAGCAAATGCCCAAAAGCACCTCTAGGAAACGGATGGCAGTTCTGGACCTCGACTCAGCCGGGGCCAGGCTGGCGGAGACTCAGCGGCGCAGGGCCGTCGTTGCATTGGGCCCTGGCCGAAGCCCTCACAGCAACATCCGGATCTTAGACTTCTGGCTGATTCGGCCGATCACCGCCGAGCCGCAACAGAGTGAGCCAGCTGCCAGATACCGGAACTAAGGGCTGCTCCCCGCCACGTCTCTCACTGACACGCACTAGCCACTTGCCGAAGTTGAAGTTGCCCTCCAGTATACGAAGACTAGAAAGTCCATGATGCACGTTGGAATCCTCGTCTAATTCTACATCTTCTCATGGCCTACCTGACTGTGAACTCTACACTTCTCTAGTTCTCTGGGGAAGCAGTCCGGTTCCCTGGGCTTCCATCGATCCAAGCAGCTCCCAGAACAGACGGGACTCTCTCTCCAGTCTTGGTAGCCACAGGAAGCCTGATGGTGGAAGCACCTTCATAAAGTCAATGCTGCTCTCCTCACGGTCCCGCTCAGAAGCACCATCCGCCTGCCACTGCAACCCATTGCAATGGGCAAAAGCCTTCACCTTCAATCTCAGTCTGAATCTCAGTGTCCGCTCCAGTTCATTGTTTCAACGGGTTCGGACCACCCCTTGCAGGTCTTGAAATCCTAGACACTAACCGCGAAGTTTGAATGCACGGTCTCGTAGAAACTGGAGGGGTAAAGACCAGATCTTGGCTGAGGGATCGGCTTGGGTTCTGACAGCATTGCTGCCCAGCGACCCCATCAAGAGGAAAGGGCGATGACGGCAGTGTAGACCTCATGTTCAGAAGGTGGCATCTGAATCTTAATCCCGCACAGGGAAGTACACCACTAGGATCGCCGAATCGCTGCCTGTTCTACATCCCAGGGCTTTGGAATCGGGGCCCGGGCCCAGACGAGCGTGATGAGGCAGCAGATGAAGCCGAAGGCTCCCTCCCAGCCGTTGTCCTTGCCCTTCTTCATGACCTCAAAGGAAAACCGCCCTGGAGGCGCTGGTCCAGGTTCAGCAACCCGCCCCCCTCTTGTCTGAACTTCCACCCTGCGGCCAGATCGACTCGGAAGCCATATGTGACATCGGACACAAAACCGAGACCAGGCTTGGCTTTACAGGAGCCACTGCCCCCCGGCAGCACTGTGAGCTTGATCTGGGTAAGCGGCGATCAGCCCAACGGTAGGAATGACAAAGACCTGCACTTCAGGTCCGAGGGCTTCTGGGCAGAATGCAGAGGTTGCTGGGATCAGCATTGATGTGTTGGGAAAGCAACGTGGGGGCTCTGGCTCCAAGCATGCACGCTGCCTACATCCCCCGGAAACGGCGGCGAACGTTGCCACCGTCGTCTCTGGCCCGAGAAAGTAGCCAGCCCGCATCCGCCAAGTGCAGAAAAAGAAAGGTCTTGATTATTAGAGCCACGGCACCAAGACAAAGGCCATGAGGGCTTGGGCTGTCGTGGGAGCATGGAGCTTCGACTCAGGCTCCTGGGCTCCGCAGCAAAGAGATGCAAGAGCTGTCGAATCTGGCAACATGCATTCAAAAGCGCTGGCTCAAGCTCAGTCTCTCAATGCGACATCTCAAGGCCTCAACCCGGAAGCAGAAGCTCATCTGGGGAGCCATTGCTCTGAAGTTTCTGCAAGTATTGGTATAGCCGTTGGAACCAGGTTCATAGGGCCCAGGGGCCCAGCCCACACGCTAAAGCCTTGATTCATTGAAGCCTGGGCATGGGACGTCGTGATGCAGCTCCGTTGGCGCGGCCACATCGCTGGCCACTGGTGCATCGTCCTAGATCTGCTTCAAGTGCCGAGCTCCGCAAGAACTTCTTGAAGCTCACCATGGATCGACCCTTCAATCCCAGTGCTTTGGAGATCGAAACCAAACAAGAAGATGCAATTCATGGCAGGCTTATGCTGACCTGGCGATGCTAGCCAGTGATGGATTTCGACATCACGTGGCTTTCCACAGTTGGAACGTGCTGTACTCGCTTTAGGGAAGTACCATCTTGTGGCTTCAAATTGACATGGCTCCACTCCACGGAGATGAAAGGTTTGACTTTGACAACGATGGCGATCATGGCCACACTTCCCATTGGCTGTCACTAGAAGATGAAAGGTTCAGATTCGGATTTACCATGGATCCTATGTAAAACTTTGAGCATAATCCGAACCTTGCTGTGTACAGCATGGTTCCCTGCAATGCTGAATGGACAGCACGAAGAAACCCTCTTCGGAAGGCCTGGACAGAGGCGACATCCACGCTGCCCTGGCACCAGGCAGCGAAGCAAGCACCGACTTGTCAGCTTGACCAACAGATGCAATGTTGATAAGGACGGATTGCAGAAAGGACGCTTCGGATCGCTTCGGCATGGGACCACAGACATTGAGGAACGAGGAACCCTACAAGAAAATAGGAGAACAGTGTGGTATGCTGCAATGCACGCTTCGAGCAGAGAATCCTTCAGGTTCTGCGCGCCGACCACAGCGAAGGCGAAGGCGACAGCCAAGCATCGCAGCCTTTGATCGGATGAGGGATGGGGCATCTGTGTCTTGGCGCACGACACAGAGCAAGGGTAGTGCTAAGAGAGGCCTGACAGAACCCAGAAAGGGTCCAACTCCAACCAGCAAATCCTGGCCGTATGGCCCTAAGCTCATGCTGGCCCGAAGCATGGAAGGGATCTGCATTTTGCGAGATCTTGGCTCCTTGGCTCCTCAAAAGCCGGCGTGGGTTGAGCGGAGCCGAAACGCTGCGAGCCATGAAGTCTCCCCCTTGAGGCTGAGTTAGCCCTTGGCCAGCAGGCCCTCGCTTTAGGTGAAACTGTGACGCTCTGATCTCTAGTCTTGGATACAGCCTACATTGCGTCCTTTACCTGCGGAATGGTGGCAATAGATGAACAGCCTGGGATTCACAGTGCTCCCACATTTACACACCTGTCGCTTGCTTCGGCAATTGCTGACTCGGGTACAGCCCGGCAGGAGGTTAAACAAGACAAAATCGTGGAGATCGGTCTGCAACTGACGGGGTGCGCACTGACAAGATCCGCTTCGGAAACATCTGCATGCTTGCAGCTTCCATTGTTTCTCAACACGATGATGCCAGACCAGCTGCAGCTGTTACTTATTGATGCATGCCACAGTCGCAGCCATAGCCGTAGCAACAGCAACAACAAACAACCACTAATCAAAACCCGACTCCAAACAAGAGTTGCGCTGCCTTAGCTGCAAGCCGATCACCTCCGATGCAACTAACAGGGAACTGGAACTTCTCCCTACGAGCACCTTGAGTTTTTTTTTTTTTAAAGCCCTCTTTTCCAACTGCCTGAAAGTTAGCACCTTGAGTTTACGGTTCAGGCTGTCGTGTCCTTACGTAGCAGTACCGTAGCAAGGAATGCTCAAGGAATGCTTCCCTCAGGTAGTCTCAATAGTTCTTCAAGCGACCAAGCTATGTTGAGAAGTTAAGAACTCTAAGTGGGAATGGCCACACGACCAAACTTCTGCTACAATGTGTGATTCTTCTCTGCTTATACGGTTTATGTCCAGTACACGGGGACTACCAAAACTGCTCCCGGCACCGTTCTTCAGCCTCCAAGTGGATGTTATACCGCTGCAGACGCAGGACGGGAAGCGACAGGAGGTAAAGGGAATGGCAAAGAGGGTGAGGGAGAGTGAAAGGGAGCTTTGAGGGAGGGAAGACAGACAAGACTTTATGTGTGAACACGTAGTGTGCAAACCGAACACATGCAGGAACAAGTCGAACCACGTGTATATGCATGTACCACAAGTCCTCAATCAAGATCTGCTTGAGATTTCTCGGGCTTGGATGAAAGGATCGGTTGAATGGATGTAGTTCAAAAGAAGACGGCTCGGAGCCTTTGCTAGTTCCCTGAACTCTGCGAAGCTCAGCTGAGCTGCTCCCAAGAGATGAGACTCTCAGAAGCTGTGCATTTGGGGTGCAGGGCTTAACCTAAGATTAGCTTGATAGCGCCAGAGAGGCAGGAAGCACAATGTGCATAGTTTGCTTTGAGACTGAGCTATGACTTCTCCAGGCAAGCAGACAACAAAACCTCCTGTATTATCCGCGTAAGAAACCCTTTCAGACCCGGGTCCCTCTGGCTCAAGCCACTCCTAGAGTTCGAAAGCACGACATGACTCCGACATGAATCAGACGGGAAAGGAAGGTCACTGAGCCCTGATGGGAGCGCTCTTCAGAAAGTCTGTGCCCTCACGTTGCGCAGCCAGCCGTTCGACCTCAAGAGACGGATGCAAGGAGTCTTGCGGCAGCTTGCGCAAATCCTAACGGGTCTTCGGCCTTCACCCGAAGCTGCTGCTCTACAAGCTACGCGATTTCGAAGGGACTCCACGTTGAGCAAGCTACTGTACGACACCTGAGAACACCCCGCAGTCATAGCTTCAACACCAGGCCGCTCTCAAGCGGAGAGGGCGAGCACGGCGGTGTACACCTGTTACGCAAGCCCGCGCGAGCTTCTACAACGGCTGCCACTTCTATTTCAAAGCTTTGAATTCAAAAGGAGTTGCCGAAAATAGGGGTACCTTATTTTGGGGTCCCTATAGTAAGGATCCTACTATTTAGGGTACTATATTAGGGTCCCCTATTTTCGGAAACCCCCATATTCTGCAGCAGACTCGTCGTGGATTGTCAGGGCCCGGGGCCCGGGCCCAGACGAGCGTGATGAGGCAGCAGATGAAGCCGAAGGCTCCCTCCCAGCCGTTGTCCTTGCCCTTCTTCATGACCTCAAAGGAAAACCGCCCTGGAGGCGCTGGTCCAGGTTCAGCAACCCCGCCCCCTCTTGTCTGAACTTCCACCCTGCAGCCAGATCGACTCGGAAGCCATATGGGACATCGGACACAAAACCGAGACCAGGTTTGGCTTTACAGGAGCCACTGCCCCCCGGCAGCACTGCGAGCTTGATCTGGGTAAGCGGCGATCAGCCCAACGGTAGGAATGACAAAGACCTGCACTTCAGGTCCGAGGGCTTCTGGGCAGAATGCAGAGGTTGCTGGGATCAGCATTGATGTGTTGGTAAAGCAACGTGGGGGCTCTGGTTCCAAGCATGCAGGCTGCCTACATGGGCCTACATCCCCCACAAACCAGAGAGACGAACGTTGCCACCGTCGTCTCTGCCCCGAGGAACTAGCAAGCCCACATCCGCCAAGTGCAGAAAAAGAAAGGTCTTGATTATTAGAGCCACGGCACCAAGACAAAGGCCATGAGGGCTTGCGCTGTCGTGGGAGCATGGAGCTTCGACTCAGGCTCCTGGGCTCCGCAGCCAAGGAATGCAAGAGCTGTCGAATCTGGCAACATGCCTTCAACAGCGCTGGCTCAAGCTCAGTCTCTCAATGCGACATCTCAAGACCTCAACCCGGAAGCAGCAGCTCATCTGGGGAGCCATTGCTCTGAAGTTTCTGCAAAGTATTGGTATAGCCGTATAGCCGTTGGAACCAGGTTCATAGGGCCCAGGGGCCCAGCCCACACGCTAAAGCCTTGATTCATTGAAGCCTGGGCATGGGACGTCGTGATGCAGCTCCGTTGGCGCTGCAGAATCATCCTGGTTGTCAGTCACGATCATGTCTCAAAGAGCTGGGGATGGCTTGCAGGACGGGGCTTCGGTGTCTTCAGATTTGGGGAACATCTGCAGGCTGCCGGAACGAACAGCTTCCAGTCGAATCACAACATGGCAGCGACTCCATGAAGGCTCGGCTTCGCAGTTTGTCGAGGCAGTAAGTCAGAGCCCCCTCCAAGACTCCAGACTCTGGAATTCGAGCGGGCCAAATCTTGGACCCCATATCTTCTCAAAGTCCGATGTTGCCTCAAGCTTGCAAAGCAGAAACCCGATCCCCGAGGTCCGTCACAGCGCTCACGACGTCCACGCTGCCCTTGAGGTTCTGCGCCAAGGCCAGGACCAAAAAGCAGGCGAACCACCTCTGGACACCCGGTGCTGCCGACCAGTGGTCTTTGCAGCTGCGATCACAGAAGTCACTTTGCAGGGCGACAGTAAGCTTCTAGGGGGCTGAGGGGTGGGCTCGACTGGGGACGGAAAGCGGAGACATTAAAAGTACATCCGGAGCACATCTGCACGAGCTTGCAGCTACGGAAGCAATGCTTCGGCCATTGCTGGCACTCGGCACCCAAACCAAACTTCCCAAAGACAGCACACAGCTACGAGCAGCAGTTGCAATACTTGTATGTTGGAATGGTGTCACCTTCGTCAACAGGCTGAACCCCTGCATCCCCCACAGATTCGTTCGGTCGCCTGATGAGTGTTGGCATCTGCATGGCCTTCTGCTGGCTTTGGGCACAGGCGCCGCTCTTCACAAAACTGCGCAGCTTGAGGCTGAAGGCTGCAGCGTTGGGGCCCTCTGCGCTACGCAGGGGCTAATCGTGCTCATAGAACCATGGCGCGTGCGTCTTGCCCGAAGGCGAGGCATGGTTCAGCACACTCGGCCGAGCGAAGCAACGAGAACCTGTTCTCGCAACCCCCTGTCCGGTGCCTGTATTTGCGAAGCTCCTCCCGCGCACGCTCCTCCCCATCGCAGCAAGGCTTGCATCGGGATCCAAACTTGCGAAAACAAGCCTGGCATTGCTGCTGGGACACAACCTAGAGCTGATTCGCTCCAGAACGGGGAAGCTGCCATCTCTAAGCTCTCCATACGCCCGAAATCACGAAACTATGGTGAGTTCATGTTCAAGGTAGCTCTGACTCTACCTGCGAAGCGTCACGGCTGGACTATTCAGGCTTCGCGGGGTTTCTCACCTTTCGCCCTTCCCACCCACTTTCCCGCGGCAACAAGCAGCTCCTGGATCTGGGCTTTCCATGCCTGCGAGGCGAAACAAGCAAAAAAACAGTCCGTGAGGCGCACGAAGCGCATGCCTCTCGCGGGGGGTTTGTGTTCGACAGTGTAGATAGGGCTCCTACCCCGGCTATAAAGCCATAACGCTCAGAGCATTCTGCATTCTGCAGCATGCACTGGCGGTATGTCTACATGTATCTACCAAGAGGCCAAAGCATCATACCAACGTACGCCAGAGCTCTCAGTGAAGCAAGCTGAGCCGAGTCAGCGTTGTCACAACAAGCTCCAAGCTCCTTTTCTAACGTTCGCGGGATACTCGCTGCCATTTCCGCCCGAGAACCAGCGATGCCTCAGCAGTGATCGTGCTTCAAATCTACCAAATCGACATTGATGACCCATGGATCCCCGGCTCCCAATTGTTTGCAGACTGTCATGGCAGCTTCGGTGCTATTCTCTGCCGACAGGCCTGTGGTTGCAAGCCGGCTTGGCCGTGCTTCGCAGCGTACAGGCTTCGACCTCGGCGGGCGCGGCACCAAAGTTCGGGTGAATTGCGGGGCCTGGGCCTGTATCTGACAAGCAGAAACTCCGGCACTCGAAACCCCGAATCCTGAGACCCGACCTCAACTCAACAGCCCTACAGTTGCTGCACCAACCCGACATCCTCCACACCACGATCAGAAGTTGAGCACGGACAGGAGAATGATACCGATTGACCGCAAATCTGTTGCAGAATGCTTGCGAACTGGCACTCCAGGTCCATCAAGCACACCTACGCCGTCCTACGCCTCATCGACACAACTCATGCAGCCTGGGCGACGCTGCCTAGGATGCGATCCATCCTCTCTCTCGCAGCCACTCCTGCGCAGCTCAGTGACTACAGTACCCAGTATAAATTGCCTTCAGCACAGCTCCAAGCAGCCGATCGAACTCATCTTTGTTCCCTCGAGTGTCGAGCACTTGCGCCTCGCATGGGGTTTGCCACCAGCTGTGGAGTCCACAGCCGTGCTCGTGCTCGTCCTGCACAGCACGTGCACTCTAAGCCTCGCTTGTAAAGTTGCGACTTCGGACGACAGGTCTCAATGTTGGATGTTGGTGGCGGTCGCTTTCGACCGAATACATCGGTCACTTGCTAATACTTCATCCGCTCAAGATCTACTGCTATGTAGTATCACATGCGAACATCGTGAAATGGGATGGTCGCGGATGCCATGGGAAACTCACCCGACCTCCGTGAGGATGTACTTGAAGCTGACACCACATTTTTCGAGCGCCTGCCTCGTTGGGCCGCGTTGGGCTGTAACTGCAACGCGTTTCGCAGATGCTTTTTGGACCACTTCGGGTGCAAGAGATCCTGGACGGGGTAGTTGTTTTGAACCTAGCGACCCCGGTGGTTCGCAGATCAACTGCAGGAGGAAAGCTTCGTCATTCGATTCGGACCTCGTGAATTGTGATCGGATATTCTGCCAGCATCAAATTGCAATACGGAATTGCTCTGCAGATCATGCTTCAACGACTCGGTCTGTCGAACTTCATTAGCATCGGGAACGGGGCGTGAGACGGTCAAGCACCGAACCACAACGTGGAAGCATGTCTCTTCGAGGCTCTGCTAAGCAGCTGGCGCATACACATCAGTATTCTCGGAAGCCGGGCAATACCTTGGAAAGGCAAAGGGTCTGCAAAGGACACTGAAGTGACAAGACCGGGTTCGCTCTGAGTTGGAGTTCACGAAGTGGGCGGCATCTGCTTCGTGCCGCATGAATCAGATCCCAGAAAATGCAGAATGTATTTGCCACTCCCTTTGTAGGATCGCATGGCCACTGTGTGTTCATAAGAAAGAAGCGAGTTAAACACAAATGCAAAGAATGTACGGCTTTGCTTAATTCGCTTCTTGATCTCTTATTCGTGGCTTCCTTGTTGTGCCCTTTACGCACTCTTTCATTCCTCTCTTTAGGGCTTTGGGTTTAGAGGGTTAGGGTTTAGGGTGGTTCCACGCCTCCGCTGCCAGTTTGCGGGTCGACAGGTTGGGCTAGCACGAAGAAGCAGGCTTGCCAAACCCCGCTTTCGTCTTGAAAAGCGGGATTAGCAAATCCTGCTTTCGCCTGGAAAAGCGGGCTTGGCAAACCCACTTTTCGGCTCGAAAAAGGGGGGTTTGCCAAACCGCCACCATCGGCTCGAGACAGCCGATGCTCATTTGAGCTCATGATGCTGGTGAGCTTGGGAGTCCAATGCCACAGAAATCATACGTTCACGAGCCTAGCCGCGTGAACCTATCCGTTCACGCAGCCTCGCGATTCTCTTTCCAAAACCACAAAAATCAAGCATCACCAGCAAACTTGGTGATCCTTTCATGTCGGCTGAAGAGGTTTGGCTGGTCAGGGTTTGGCACACCCCCGCTTCTCCGCTCCATTGGTTGTCAGGTTCAAGGTCTGTGGGTTAATGGCTTCCAAGTGCAGGTTTTCGAAGGCTTAGGGGTTGTGGGTTCGGGGTACATGGGTTTGTTTAGAACGCCTTTTTCGTCCGCATCGTCCAGCCAGCATCTCAATCCAATGTACGGATTCCAGCACATGCCCATCGAACAGCTTCTGGCATCTGCCACAGATATCCCTCCCGGCATTATTCCCAAACGCATGACATTAACACGATAACTCCGACATACTGTGAATGAAACTTGCCCGCAGCTGTGTGCACTGGTCCAAAAGGCTGCGGCACAACAGATGCTCAGTCAGGGGCAACACGGACGGAAACAGTTCGCCCATGGCCGCGCAAGCTGCGGCACACCGAACTCAACACTAATGGCGGATACATCTGGCCTTGTACGACAAAGCACACACGCGTATGCAACACGCACGCAAGATGGCGATGTCCAGCCACCAGGGGCCAACGCACCTTTTGGGGTGCTGGGTTCGCTTGACTTGACTCATCATCAGCAGTCACAGTCGCAGAAACAGGCGCTAGCAGGGCAAGCCGCTTAGAACCCACCCGAGGACGGCCATGACGCCCAGACCTGAACTGAAAACAAGTCGTGAGGTTGGACTCCTTCCGGCTTCCGTTCAAGCCCGCAAACGCACGCAAAGCAACGACGGGCAAAGGCCATACAAAAATCGACGCAGTTGTTGTCCAACTCGTCGTGGTCCTCGTCGGGCCAGTCCGCCGCCATGTCGGCGATGATTCTGGCGACCTCCCGCTCGGAGAAGACAGACCGATTAATGCTCCCCTGGGGCGGCAGAAATTTTTCCTAGGTTTGGCTCTGGTCTGTTTGCAAGTATCCCAGGGCGGACAGAGCCGTCAATGAAGGCACCATGCATATTGACTGCTCGTTTATCAAGTACCGCTTGGTGATGGGCTTGCACTCTGCAACGAATGGCAACATAAATGATGAGCAGCCGTCGAGCCCCGGACAGCCATTCGGACACTGGGTCGACAAGGACTTTGTAGCAGCGCTCGCACTTCTGGTGAGCACCACTCCGACCCCCTCTTCTGCCTCGCCGGCACCAGCATCATCCCAACGTGTCGCCCCCACATCACAATGCAAGATTTGAAGGAAAGAACTAGACCCGATCTCCGACACACTGTCCATCTCACAAGGCCATCACCAGGATGCAGCACCCATGCACAAATCTTGTGGACATCCATTTGTGAGAAATACAATATGGGAATGTGCTCCTCGCGTAGTAAGACATCCACCCACCCAGTCAATGCTTGATCTCTCTCTCGCATGGTTCGCCTGGAGCAGCGCAATCTCGGCTCGCAACATCAGGAGACCACGCATGCTTCGGGACACACAACGGACATAAAATGTACCCACTTTGGATTTCGCAGCCACCCCATCAGCATCTGCTCCTCCAGGGAACATGACCACACCTCAAAACCGCCAAAAACGGCCGCTTCGCTATGGCAACCTTCGGGCAGCTAGCAAACAGTTCTCACAAGCTCAACTCGTCCTGAGCCTTCTTGCCACGAGCTACGCATTCTTCTGCACCAATGCTCTACGATCACCCCCGCAGGAAGCCGATGACACACAGCCGTGGCACCGATCGAGCCAGTGGAGTCAACGACTCAGCAACATGGGAGGAATGTTGCATTGCCTGCTCAGACTCTGAGTCTCGGGCGAGTCGCCATGGATCCCCGCAAGGAAGGCCGGGGGTGCCGTGGCAGTCACCAGGAGATGTGTGGAGGCCTGAGGCACGCGGCGCAGGCGAGAAGAATAGCTGCTTGCACATGAATGTTTCGTGCACAAGTCTAAGTCTCATTGTGAACTGTTGTAAAGTGCGTATCACAAATTCTGTAAGCAAGACCAGGCTGAATTGACTACGGTGCTGTTGCGCAGCTCATGCATGCACAATTATGTCTTTAGCTCCAAGGGAGCACTTTGGAACATAGGCGTGTGCGGTTGAAGGTCAGCGTGTGCAGCGCGTCGCTTGCGGACATGGATCGAAGCCGAAGCTGACGGAGAAGTCGTCAAGCAACAGCAACCCCACCACCAGCGTTAGCCACGCTCATCGCACATGTCTATGTTGTTAAACGCTACATACTCACCGCTTCGGATTCACACGCTGTGCGAAGATATTTGCAAAGGCCATGTGCAGAGGCCCTCTGCAGCTCTTTGCAGCTATACCTTCGCGCTGTTCAGGCTGTTCAGTATGCGGTGTATCCCAACACTGTCGAAGCCCAACCCCGTGGCTTGGCTGCGAAGAGAAAGGAACACGGACGGAAGTCGCACCAGGCCTCAATTGGCGGGTAGCCTGCATCGGCGTACCAGGGATCGATGGACCCATCCTGCAAAGGCATTTTTTGTCGATGGATTTTCAACGAGGCTGCAGGTCCTGTAAATGATGCTCAATTCCTCATCCCCCAAAACAACCCTTACATCTCTTCAGATCCCATTGCTCTCGCGAAGTGTTTCAACTGCTGTTTGGTGCATGGAACATGAACACTGTACCCTGACTTGAAGCCATAGGCAACACCAAGCAGATCTTCCTCGTGAGGCGTTCGCGTGTCCTGAGCTGCAGACTTGCAGATCAGGAAGA